TGAGAAGTTAAATATATCGGAAATATCGGTCTAAATTTAGTCGATACCGATACACTATCGATACCAATGAATTGGCCGATATTGCCGATACCGATACCGCTACATCTCTAGTTTGGAGTCCGTATTCCAGCCAATTTCAAACTTTGAGTCCCATGTCAAATTGAGCCACTTCTGTTTTGAGTCAGAGTCGAGTCCAATTACATAAACAACATTGTAATCGATAAATATGAGTCACACTCAAATTAGGTTTAGTTATTTGAACCGCAGTTACGTTGTTGGCGCAAAGTTCTAAGCGTTGGGTTGGGTTGGCTAGTACGGTTTCGGATACTATAAAGTGTAAATGCATATTGATGTATGAGAAATTTGCTGATCTCCTCACCGCTATAGCGTGGTTCACACGAATAAATGGTATTATTTGTTTACAAAGTTGCAGATTGTTGTGTCGTGTTTTAAATAAGACGGCAACAATTGCTGTGCTGTATAGTGTGTTGTTGCTTCAATCATTTTGCTACGAGCGTCAGCGTTTGGCTACGTATATGCTTTTCTTATTTGATCATTAAACAGTTACTTGTGCTGTGTTTGACTTTGGATTTATTCTAAATATGCTTTGGTTTTTAAGTTGAATAGAGCCTTTTATCAAGGTATTCAGATTTTTGTTTTATTTCACTAAGTTGGTTGAAGTAAATATGGCGAACATATTACTGTTCATTGCAAATCGGGTTGAACTTTGGTTCTTCGATTTAGGAAAAAACAGGTTGACCAAAACAATTCATTTTCTGTTGTTTCATTTTTGTTTTTTTCCAATACAACATCGGCGTGGTTTGTGATTTTTCGCCAGTCGCTCAAACGTATTTTATAGTTTCAAGTCGACTCTCTCAGGCGGGTATTTCTTCGTTTAAATGAGTCGAGAGGAATCTAGTCTCTCATAAATGGACCAGAGTCTTCACAACACCGATATTACTTATTTCAGCAATTATTAGTTTGCACGATGGAAAAAGGCAACAAAGTTTCAGCAATTGATGTTCTACTGTTCATCCCGAATATCATCGGTAAGTGAAATGGTAAAACTTTAAAAAAATATAGGGGCTCCAGAAGTATGCGCACCAGCGAGATCATTCATACTTCTGGTTTGTGCTGAGTCATTCCAATCATGTTATTAGTCAGGTGAGTAACACTTTAAGCTGATGACTCATTAGCATAGTTTGGCTGATATTATTTGTGTACTAATTTCCCTTTCATATCTAGTTCATTAAATTCAACATTTTCCCGGGTATTGGAACTTTACACAAAATAACTTCCGGGTTAGGGGTTTGCCAAAGTTTTATCCCGGTTTCTCTTAAATTTCCGGGCTGGATCGAAATTGTTTTTGCTCTTTTGCGAGTTCGAGGTCTTTGAATGTTCGTTAGATGAATATACCCTCTAGCCATTGGCTTTAATCCCTTCTAATATCGACTCCACATTCTTCGAGCGAGTTAGGTGATACAGTGTTTCATTTCCCTTGTATTCTTGATAATTAGGTGTCTGTCCCTTGGAGTGTCCATAAGAGGCGGTTAACCCGTCTTTATTCAAGGTTACCCGTTCGCTGTCTTCCATGATCTCTTCCAAGGTCTCTACTTCATATATCTTTCCTGTCCGGATTAACAGCATTTCTTGCAACCGAGGCCACGGATGAAGTCCCCCTCTTGCATAAGGGCACTCCTCATGTCTACAATGCTTTACCAGAATTCGCTGTATCTTATTTATTTCAGCAGTTTCGGGTGAAATCAGTTCCGCCGCCCAAACACCTGGTTCATCTTCTCCAGCTGCCAGTTCCATCCAGTAGGATCTTGACAACCCATCCGATGTAAAAACTTCATTCGTGCTCAAGTGTATTATTCGTTCAATCTGAAAACCCGATAAGTGATTAAGCCACCTTTGGATTAACATTTTGGGCGAAGGATTCTTGGGTTGCTCTTTCATCCGCTTCAGCAGGCCATAAACTCCCGTATTATCTGTTATTACCGTAAACGGTATCCCATATAAAATAGATTGCCATTTATCAACAGTTTCCTTGAGCGCTTTTAACTCCTTAGTGCAAGGATCATAGCACCTAGCTGCCGCTGTGAGCCATTTTTTGCTATAAAATGCTATAGGGTATACACTTTTGAATGGTGGTTCCTCACCCCGCTCAGTATGAAACATCACTGCTCCGAACCCGTTTTCAGATGCATCCGTTTCTACATACAGTGGTAACTCCGGATTTACATGATATAGTACCTGAGTCTTGTCCAGCTGACTTCTGGCAACCTTATAATCACTCAGGAGCTCTTCCGTCCATAACACAGGTGTTAGTCTCCCTCGCGTTGCCGGTACCTTTCCTGTCAACGCATCAAATTTAGCTAATTTTAAGCTCATTTAGGTATGTGTTCCGAAATATATCTTAGGGCACCTATCCATCCCCTTAGCTCATAAATATTTCTAGGGGGTGTTAATTCTTTAAGAGCTCGAATTCTCTCAGGTTGTACCTCAATTTGTTTTCCCGTCAGGGTGGCCCCAAGAAGATTTATTTTACGTTTTCCAATAAAACATTTATTAATACTCAGGGTAAGTCTCATCTTTGCCAATTGCTCAAATGTCATGTGTAGGAGAATCATGTGATCTTCTACCGATTTGGTACTCAGGAACACGTCATCTATATAGGCGTCTATCGGCGTCGCCCTCGACTCGTCATCTCGACCTTTGTCACTCATATATCGTCTGTATCGATCCGTTATCGGTTTAACAATGCATTCTTGCATATTTGCTGACCAAATTCCGACGGCGTTTCGTAATCCCATCGGCATTCGTCTCCACCTTAGATGTTCGCCCTTGATAGCTATTCCCAAGTACTGTTTGGAACACGGCGTTACTTCCAAATGGTAGTAAGCTTTCTTTAAATCGAGCAGAGTTAATACCTCTCTACCTCGCGCCATCTGTTTTATATCAGGTACCAACGGCGGCGAGATATTGACTTCTTTTATCACCGCGTTCAAAGGTTGTAGATTCTGTACCACTCTCCACGCTTGCTTCCATCCATCTTCCTGTCTTTGGCGTTCATTCATTTTCTGAGGTACCACGAATATTGCCAGTTTCCATTCCGCAAATCCAACCTCGATTACCCCAAATCCAGGAAATTTTGTACTGCTTCTTCGAGAGCTTCCATTTGCCCTTTACCTTTTAAATTATATGGTCCTGAAACAAATGGTTTTATATTGGGGTCTTTTAATTCAACTTTGCACGGATACTTAAGGGCTTGGGGCTTCTTCAGGTTGCCCCTTAAGTCCCCCAGTGTTTTAGAATAGGGTTCATAAACCACTTTCCACTCTTCTTCGGTGATTATTGTATTTTCTTTATCATTTTCATCAGGCGACACATACCTTTCTCGTGCTAAGGCTACCGCTTCCGCACTTAACAGACGTAGTTCCGTTCTTACTGCTTCGGCTGATCCTTCCTTTAACACATAGTCGCCTACTAGAGTTTTATTGACCCACTTCATTCTTTCATCCGGTACACTTATGACAGGCGATTTCGCTGCAGTCGATAAATCGCTGAAATTACCCAGGCATGGGTCCTGAGACCCCCCGTTTTGCTTGGGCTCGAGCTTAGGGTTTTCTTGAGTCCGCTCTGAAGCGTCGACTTCTTGAGTTTGCCCGGAGACACCAACTCTTTCCCCTTCTCGATTTATAGTGGCCCTGTTCAATTTATTTGACCCTTGGCCGCTAACGTCAGTGGCCTGTTCAATTTGTTTGACCCCTGGCCTTTAACGTCATAATTGAAATACTTTCCCCGGTTTCTTACACTCAGGGGGAATCCATTCAGATTGGGGATTCCTAATATTTCATTGTACCGTGGCTCCCATAGGTCCACCTGGGGGTCGTCACTCCCAGATAAATCTACGGCCATGACTAGATCGCTCAGATGTGAAGACGGGTTTTCCAGCTCTGTCGTAACGGATTTTAAGGCCATTACTCTTTCTATCCATGCAAAACCAACTATGTTTAGTGGTACGCCTTTCCCTGTTGCAAATGGAATTTGCGTCCCTTCTATATTAATCGTTATTAGAGAGTCAACTTCAGACGTTCCCCAATGCCCCTTAGTTTCATATTCAGGTTTTTTCTGGTCACCCAACTTTGCGGATAAGCCCTTTTTGCTGTTTCTATAGTCATTAGGTTTGGAATTGAACCTGTATCAGCCAAATAGGCCGCTCCCGTATTTTGGTCAACTAGGTACATCAATTTATCACCAAAAATATCCGAGAAATTACTGCTTTCTTGATCAAATTCTCCGAATAATGTAAACAAAGGTAGATTAAAATTATTTAAAGTTTTCATAATGTTTTTATAAGTCTTCATTTCCGGGAGCTGACTTAATGTCGCATTTGCTGAGAGTCCCGCCAGCTCCCTATACCGTTTCCCGCCACGTCCAGGCCTTGTTGGACTTGGGGTTGTGTCCAGTGTGTTGGTACTGGTCTTTGTTTGTTTCTTGGTTCAGCTGTCACAGGTGGCCTCCATTGATTCCTGTTCAGCCAGTGTGTTTTGTCTCTTTCCTTGGGCCTAGTTCCGAAATAATCTTCACATAAATTGGCCCTCTCCACTAGGGGGGAGACCCTTGCGTTGCGAAATAATCGTCTAATTCTTTCACCCCTTTCAGCCTGAGGCCTAATGGGTTATGACCTCCCAAAAAGGCTCCCCAATTGGCAATATTCTCTTCTCTCACATGATCAGGCAATGGCCGTGCCCTTTCTTTAATTCCCCATTGTCCCCCGTCATTTTTAGCTAAAACTTTATCACTTAGCCATAATATTGCTTTAACCACACAGTTTTTTGAGAGGTGGCCCGGTGCTTTACACAAATAACAAACAGCCAATGATTGCCCGTTAGTAGGTGTTGTGTACAGTCCCAAGGGTGCAAATATGTTAGCATTAGCCAAGAAATCATATGACGAACCTTCTCGCTCTGCAATCTGCAAGGCCTCTTCAGAATTGCTAGGAGTCGTCTCTCTTCCAACTGGTGGTTGTTGTCTGCTTGATGTTGGGCGAGTTCCTTCATTGAGTGCCCTGGGCTCACTTCTTTGTGACGTGAAATTACCCCTTGCAGCTTGTTTTTCTTTACCTCTCCTTGGTGCATCCCTCATCCATGGTTTGTCAGTTGTTCGTGTAGTTCTGGCTGGATTTCTCCTCGGTTGTTCGATAGGTTCTTGCCTCCTTGGTACGGGAGGCGGTCTGCTTGGCTCTCGCATCCTCCTTTCTAGGGCTCTTTGCACTTCTTCGCTAACTCCATCTATGGGATACGTTGGTAGAGCATTTTTTATTGCAGTTAGGTCAGGGTGTATGTTGTAGACGTTCACGGGTGGGGTGCTGGTTGCCATTACCTGAGCCGGTGGATTACAACTTCCCCCTTTTCTTTCAAGTCCTCTTGAACTGTCTGTCGCCTGTTTATCGAGATCTTCCGAGTTCCAGAATTGCTCTAGTTCTTCAGCAAGGGTCTGCCAATCATAATGTTCTTTCCCTTGCAATAGTAGTCGAAGCGAGAGAGGGAGTTTTGCGCGGAGAATTCTGAATAGCCTTATACCATCTTGGTCATTTAGTATTGGGCTAGTGAATGGAATATCCATTTCTCTCAATGCTCGATGGATAGCCTGGATGGGCCTTTGTTTCCAAGTATATGCACTGGCGAATCTGTTTATCACCCTTTCGTTATTTACAATTCCTTGAGGGTTTGATAACGCCAATAACTTCATTATCTCTGTCCAGCTGGGGTTGGGTTCATTAAAAAACTCCGCAATCTGGTCTGCATCCCCTATTCTGCCAGCCTGCCTTAACTTTTCTTGCATGGCATTGGACAAGATTCGGTCGGCTATCGTGTTGCCTTCTCCATGTGGAATAAATCTCATAGAATCCTCCATGAATCTAAGGATATGCGTTTCCGCTGGATTCTTCATCACCGCCATCATTTCGTTCACATTCCAGGGTTTGGAAGGCGCTGGTGTGACATCAGAATCAAAACTATCCAAGGATAGCCTTCGGGCTAAC